CGGTTCACCAGTCGTGTCACCAACATCACCACACACTCTCAGGAGGATGGATCCTCTCCCTCTGGTGGGTGCCCACCCGGGGCCTGGGGCTGGCTTTCAAACACTGCTACCTTGAGACCTCTGGAGCAAATGGGACAGACCTTCAGGAAACACAGAATAGCACCACAGCATTGTCACTTCCCGGGCATGTTGCTTGTGAATTCCCATCTCTCCCCAGCATGGGAGCTGGTGCCGGCTCTGCCTGACCCCCAGCAGGGCTCTGCTGCACAGATGATGCTGAGGATGGAGCAGCCTGGCTCTGGGGCTCCTTTCTGTGCCTCTGGGAGAAAAGGAGGGAAGTGCCAACCCTGCCTTTGGCAGTGACACTGCCATTCTCAAGGGATGATGTGGGCTGGGCCACATGTAGAGGCAGGAATGGGGACAGCTGGTGAGGGTGTCCATGATGCTTGACAGGTGGTGTGGGAGCCACAGGTCACGCATTGAAGGGCTCGTTTAATGTCAGAGGCCTCAGGCTGCTGTGTGGGAGGATCTGTTCCACAATAACCAGGGCTCTGGGTCACAGCAGGTGGGTGTGTGGTGACACTCCACTAGCAAAGCAGGAAAGGGGCTGTCCCTTCTGCTGTGCTGGGAGGGACAGGGTCAAGCACGTTCATCAGGGCTGAGGACGGGGAGCGAGCGCCCAGCGCTGCAGCAGAGGTCTGGGTCAGCCTGTCTTTCTGGAGTCCCTGTCCCTTTGTCCTGGAGCTGGTCCATCCTGTGGTCTCATCTCTGCTCCGCAGGGTCCATGGCAACCTGTGATTCACCCAGCTAAGGTCTTCTCTTCCAGATGCAGGTGCTGCTTCTTGGGGCACAGCAGTTGATTTTGAGGGTGACACTGATCTCACCCTTCATTCCTATATAGGGCTTAAGTGCAGGCTGCTCAGAAACAGAAACTGCAGGTGGGAGGAGCTGCTCTGGTAGGAGCTCAGGGAATGCTCTCCCTTCAGAATACAGTCACAGGAAAACATGCCTTGGCATTTTAGGGAACTTCCCTTCCTTAGGAAGTGCTCACTGGATGGCCAGTGCAGAGTTTTGGTCTTGCTCACAGGTTGCTTTGTGTTCTTCAAGGAGACATGCAGCTGGATCAAACACTTTCTATTGTCCAGAGAATTCTAGAAATTGTTTTCCAATATGAATGACACCCAGGCTATAAGTCCTCCTGGTGTGCTGGATGAGCTTTTGGCTGTGTCCCCCTTGCTAGCTCAGCAGTCACTTGCTGTCAGACTCCAGGGTGTTCTCTGGCTGGAGCAGAGGCCAAGCATGTTGTTGCCATCCCAAATCTACCATACACAGAATATCCTGAAGCCTCAGGAATTGTGTATTGGATGCTGGAAATTAACCCTGTGGGTCTTGGGCTTTGCAGCCCCTTCTCTCAGCTGTGTAGTGTTCTTAAACAGATGGGTTTATGAAATTAAGCTCTTTGAGAGTCAGCTGGACAAGCAGCACCTGTTCAGAGTGAAGCTTGAAATGCCTTAAGGGGTTGTCCAAATAGTGGCATTTCAGGCTTGTTATGTCAGTTGTTCTCATTGGCATCTCCTGGCATCTGAAACCAGAGGGAAGCAGAACTGTGGCAGAGGAGGTGGAGCCACTAGGTAGAAGCTGTGCTACTGGCCTGTTCCAGACCTGGCCATTGGGCTCAGATCTAGCTGAGAAACAAACACACACTGAAGCATGACAGTTGGATTGATGCAGGAGCCAGGTTTGACTGCAGCAGCAGCAGGATTGGTAGAGAGTGTGTTGGGGTGGAGAGGAGGGAAAAGGTACCTGAAGGGCAGTTCTCCACGGAAAGCCTGTGTGTGAAGGCCCCTGCTGACTGTTCCCTGGGGCCAGGAGAGCTGTGTCTGCACTGACCTGTCCTCTGTCATCCGCAGCTCCAAGGGCTCATGAGATCCCATCCCCCTGCCTGCTGATTGGTGGAGGAACTGCTGCTTTTGCTGCTGCCAGATCCATCCGGGCACGGGACCCCGGGGCGCGGGTAAGAGCTGCCCCGCAGAGCCCGGCGCTGCGGGTCCCTGCCCTGCCCTGCCCCAGGGCCTCTGCCCTGCCCCAGGGCCTTCCGTGCAGCTCACGTGCTTCCTGACCCCTGAAAGGTGCTGATTGTGTCTGAGGATCCTGCCCTGCCCTACATGCGTCCACCTCTTTCCAAAGAGCTCTGGTTCTCAGATGATCCAAACGTGACAGAGACGCTGCGGTTCAAGCAGTGGAACGGGAAGGAGAGGAGGTGGGTGTCACTGGGGGGCAGGAACACAGAAGAGTGGTGGGTGAGCTGCTGGTGGTGGTCAGACTGGTCCCACAGAGGAGGTGGAGCCCGTTGCTAATGGAGCTTTTCTCAGTATCTATTTCCAGCCGCCGTCATTTTACGTGCCTGTCCGTGACCTGCCTTCTGTGGAGAATGGAGGAGTGGCAGTTCTCTGTGGCAAGAAGGTGGGTACAGCCCTGGCCCCACACAGCCCTTCCCAAGCACTGCCTCTCCCAGGCTGAATCCAAACAGCCAAGGTGCAGGATGGCTGCAAGGCCATCTGTCTCAATTCCTGCCTCCGGGCTTCTTCCTTCCCCATTTCCACACCCCTTCCCCAAACTTAAAGGTGGGAAAATGTTACTTCCAGGTTTGCTTCTCTAACTACTAGTCAGGGCAGTTTAACTTGAGCAGCCTGCAGTGCCTTGAGCTCTCCTGCTTGTTTACATTTGCAGGTTGTGCACATGGATGTTAGAGGCAACACAGTGAAACTCAACGATGGCACCCAGATATCCTACGACAAATGTCTCATTGCCACTGGTAAGTTGTTGGGTTTTTTCTCCCTGTCTTGTGCCAGGCTTTTTATTTCTGTGGCATCTACCTGCCAAGGAAGGGGCTGCAGTATGCCAGAAACCTGACAGAGCAGGCATACAAAGGGCAGCCCTAATTTCACTGGCCTCACCAGAATTTAGAATCGTAGAATGCCTTGAGTTGGCAGGCACCTCTAAAGGTCCTCTAGTCCAACCCCCTATGATAAGGAGGGACATCTCCAACTAGACCAGATTGCTCAGAGCCCCATCAAGCCTGAGCTTGAATGTCTCCAGGGATGGGGCCTCCTGCACCCCTCTAGGCAGCCCCTTCCAGTGATCCACCACCCTCATAGTAAATAACTTTTTCCTAATGTTGAACCTAAATCTGCCCTCTTCTAGCTTAAAATCATCACCCCTTGTCCTATTGTTACATATCCTTGTGAACAGCTCTGCCCCAGCCTTCTTACAGACCCCTTTCAGGCATTGGAAGGAAGTTTTCCCCTGTGAAAATCAGCAGAAAAAGAGGAAAAGGAGCCTTCAGTAAAGGCTCCCTGAACAAGGCAGCCTCTTCAAATGCTCCCTGCAGCAGCAGCAGCAGGCAGAGCTGGCTGTCCCCAGCCAGAGCAGCAGGGTGACTGCCACTAGTGCCCCTGGGAGGCTGTGGGGTCACCTGCTGCTCACACAGAAGGTCTGTCCTGTCAGAGACCCCAGCAGAACAGGGAATGGGGCACATTGGAGCAGTGTGGAAAGCACAGGCCAGATCCAAGCCAGCTGGGACAGCCAGTGGCTTGGCCAGGGTATGACCAGTCCCTCCCTCTGCCCTCACCCCCAGGTGGCACCCCAAGGAACCTGCCTGCCATCGAGAGAGCAGGGAAAGATGTGCAGAGGAGGCTGACGCTGTTCCGAAAGGTAACGCTCCTGTGCTGCAACAGGGAGGAGCAGCCTGACTGCCCTTCTGCTGGGAGAGAGTTGCTCTTGTTCCAGAGGGGGAAACTGGAGGAAAACATCTGCTGACACTTGTGTTGGAGGATATTTGAAATGGGAATAAATCTTCTTTCAGATTGAGGACTTCAAAAGTCTGGAGAAGATTTCAAGAGAAGTCAAGTCCATCACAATTATTGGTGGTGGTTTTCTCGGCAGTGAGCTGGCCTGTGCCCTGGGGAGAAGAGGTGAGTGTGCTTCTGCAGGCACCAGTCTTGGACCTGAAAAGTAAGCAGCCTGACACTACAAACCTTTTTTTCATTCCCCAGCTGCTGATTTTTTGCACAGACCTGTGGTTGGCCTGAAACAGCCCTTAAAATGCAGGTGTTTGGTTGGCTGTGTGACCTGACCTGGCCTTACATTCTCTCTCCCATCCTCTGCCAAGCAGCCCCTGACCAAAAAAAGGTTTTTTAATTGAGGCTGCCTGGAAGCTCTGCACACCAGTGTGTGTTGCAGAGTCATTTCACCCTGTAAAAAGTTGTATTTTCTCTCTCTCAGTACTGAAAACCACCCCAAAACTGTTATTTCAAAGAGGTTACAGACAGCTGGGCTCTTGCTGTAAAGTGCGGGCAGCTTTTTGAGTAGAGCCCTGCTGGTCATTTTTCTAAGAAGAGAAATTTTCTCCCAAGTACCAAGTGTTTTACCTGGGCATCTGCTGCCTGGACCCTGGAGCTGGCAGGTGTGTGTGACACAGTCACTTGTGACTCCTCTGGAACATCTGGGAGCCAGAACTCCTGGGTTTGGAGACTTCTGTCAAGCTCCTGGGATGAAGCCCGTGCTCGTGTCCTGCAGCCTGTGCTGTGCCTGGGCGTTGTCAGCAGCTGCTCTTGGCTTTCCTTTCAGCACAAACCAGAGGCCTGGAGGTGATTCAGCTGTTTCCAGAGAACGGCAACATGGGCAGAATCTTGCCAGAATATCTCAGCAACTGGACGACAGAGAAAGTCAGAAAAGGTGAAGCTGCCCCTGAGGGCTCCTCCCCTGCCCTGGCAGGCCTGTGGGGTACAGGCTGATGGCTGCTGTTGCTCCTCCCTGTGAAGGCAGAGCCCTGCTGCTCCTGTCAGCAGAGCCTCGGGGTCCCCTGCAGAGCAGAATGAGCTGCAGCTCGAGCAGCTTGGGTGGCACCAAGGCCATGGGTCTCTGAGCTGCTCAGCTGGAAAAGGCAGCACAGTCAGAGATGCCTTTCCTCCACTTGCTGTTTGAAGTGCAGAGTATCTCCCTGTAGGTGGAGGGAGGAGGGATCTCCTTGGGGCTGCAGCTTGCAGGGCCTGACAACCCCCAGGTCTGGGTTACTTGATGGAGGAGGAGGCTGCCTTGTCAGACCTCTGGGTCTGGCTGTGACAGAGCAAGAGGCAACTCTGTGTCCTTCGTGCCTCAGAACGTGTCTGGGGGAGTTCTCCAAGCAAGCACTCATGTTTCCTCTGCTTGTTTCCAGAGGGGGTCAAGGTGATGCCCAACGCTGTGGTCAAGGCTGTCTCTGTCTCGGGCAACCGGCTGGTGATTAAACTGAAGGATGGACAAAAGGTACAGATGAAAGTGTGGAGAGGCAGGGTTTGCATGGAGGGAATCAAGGTAATAGTTGTGAATTCCCAACCAGGTGGAAACGGACCATATAGTGGCTGCAGTAGGGCTGGAGCCTAACGTGGAACTGGCCAAGTCTGCTGGGCTGGAGGTGGACTCTGACTTTGGAGGGTTCCGGGTGAACGCGGAGCTGCAGGCACGCTCCAATATCTGGGTGGTGAGTACGAGCAGAGGAGGTTCTGTTTGCTGGCTCTGCTGGGGCAGTCAGAACACATCCAGCTGTGGGGGCTGGTTACCCCTGCTAGGTGAACGGGGCAGAAAATAGCAAGTCTGAGAGCAACTGTAGCTCAGATCCTGCCAGCAGCCCCAGAGCCTGTTCACGCACCACAGCAGGCTGTGTTGCTGTGGGAACCACGCTCTGAGTTTTGAATATTCATGCTGTGTAAGAGGAGTTGGGGTAACCTAAAGATAGCATAGGTTACACTGTTGTGTGAGAGTCCCTTCGGTGGGAGTAGAGACAGAGTCCTCTGGAGGAACCTGCTTGGTGCTCTCATTTTCCCAAAGATCGGTGACAAACGCTGGGAAACTGGGGCTTGTGCAGCCTGGGAGCGGGATAAGGAGGTGGTGGAGGTGCTTGGGGTTCATCAGAGCAGCTCAGTTCCTGGTTCCACTTGTTTCTCTTCCCAACACCTGGAGTGTGTGTGTATTCCTGGGAGCTGCTGGTGTGGAGGGGCAGTGCTGACTGGTGTGTTTCAGGCCGGGGACGCCGCCTGCTTCTACGACATCAAGCTGGGGCGGCGGCGCGTGGAGCACCACGACCACGCCGTGGTCAGCGGGAGGCTGGCTGGGGAGAACATGACGGGAGCTGCAAAGCCCTACTGGCACCAGTCCATGTTCTGGTAACCTTGGGTTCTTCTGGCATCCCTTCTTTGGCCAAAGTTGCAGGAGCTGGGACAGCATCCACCTTGGGAGGGTTTCTGTTTCCTGAGCACAGTGAAGCTCCTTCAGCACACGCTTCCCACAGCTCTTGTTCCCAGGAGCTCAGGGCATGGGAGGGCATTAGAGAGCTCCCTGCTCCTCTCTGAAATGATTTTCCTTCCTGCAGATCCCAGTTCCTCCCTCAGTGAGTCCCATTCAGCAAAGCAAGTAGCAATAAAGAGCAGCCCCTTCCCAGGAGCAGGCTGCCTTACAGCTTGAGCTGGGCAGCTCTTGTTGGAATTCTCTGGTGTTCTCCAGCACAGCCTCTTGGTTTCAGCTGTGTCCTTGCTGACCAGCTGAGCTGGTGCTTTGGGGCCCAGGGAGAAGATTGTTGCTTTCCAGAGAGAGGTACTGAGAAAATGGAAAGTTTTGCTGTGTGTTTTGGAAGTTCTTTTTAAACCAAACCAGCAGAAAAGCCACAAAAAAGGCCTGTTAGCTCAGGATCAGAAATTGAAAGTTAGCAAGAGTTTAAATACAGAGAAAAGAGTTTTACTTATGTTGGAGAAATCCCCTCAAAATTAGTTTTTTCTGCCTTGCTGGCACTTACCTGAGCCCTTGGCCTGTGCTGCACAGCCTGTGGACCCAGGAGGGGGTTAAAGGACACAGAAGCCTCCATCCCAGCTGGATGTTTTCCATCAGGATGCTCTGATGGGGGCTGGGCCTTGCTGCTCCTGTTCTGCTGACAGGTGTTGGCTGTGGGGCTGTGCCAGCTCCCAGGAGGGACACTTCCCTGCCCCGAGCTGCAGAGCTGGCGAGCGGCAGGAGCTGCCCTGGCTCCATGTCAGGTTGTGCAGGATCCCCCTGAGCTCTGCTGGGGCCAGGTCTGCTCACCTGGCACGTTCCTGCTGTTCCCATCAGTAATCCCAGGCTGTGCCGGAGGATTCTGGCCAGGCAGGTTGTGATGTACACGCAGCCACATCCAAATTGTTTAGTGGGAATGGAAGATCAGGCTGGATGGAATGGCCTTGTCTTGATGCTACAGATGCTTTTTTTCTGCTCCTTTCCCAGGAGCGACCTGGGCCCCAACGTGGGGTACGAAGCCATCGGCCTGGTGGACAGCAGCCTGCCCACGGTCGGGGTCTTTGCTAAAGCCACTGCAAAAGACACTCCCAAGAGTGCCACGGAGCAGTCAGGTGGGCTCTGGTCACACTGGGGGTGGGAGGGTCTGTGTTTCCTCCTCTGATCCCACTGTAGAGCACTAGGAGGCATCCATCTTTTTGCTTCTTCTCCAGACCACACTGTAACGGCTGGTGTTGATACTCAAATGCAGTTAAAACATACCATTCCTCCAGGCAGGCATCACTTTTCCTCATTTACCAAATTAAAACTTTGGCGGGCGGCAGGAGCTGCCCTGGCTCCGTGTCAGGATGTGCAGGATCCCCCTGAGCTCTGCTGGGGCCAGGTCTGCTCACCTGGCACGTTCCTGCTGTTCCCATCAGTAATCCCAGGCTGTGCCGGAGGATTCTGGCCAGGCAGGTTGTGATGTACATGCAGCCACATCCAAATTGTTTAGTGGGAATGGAAGATCAGGCTGGATGGAATGGCCTTGTCTTGATGCTACAGATGCTTTTTTTCTGCTCCTTTCCCAGGAGCGACCTGGGCCCCAACGTGGGGTACGAAGCCATCGGCCTGGTGGACAGCAGCCTGCCCACGGTCGGGGTCTTTGCTAAAGCCACTGCAAAAGACACTCCCAAGAGTGCCACGGAGCAGTCAGGTGGGCTCTGGTCACACTGGGGGTGGGAGGGTCTGTGTTTCCTCCTCTGATCCCACTGTAGAGCACTAGGAGGCATCCATCTTTTTGCTTCTTCTCCAGACCACACTGTAACGGCTGGTGTTGATACTCAAATGCAGTTAAAACATACCATTCCTCCAGGCAGGCATCACTTTTCCTCATTTACCAAATTAAAACTTCTGTTCCCAGTGAGGCTTCGTTTCCTCCCCAGCAGAAACATTGATCAGGGTTTGCACAAAAGCAGGTGTGTGGATCTGAGCGTGTTCATTTGGTATGTGGCATTTGGTGATGGAAACTGGGAACTGTCTTCACGTTAGGATTGTTTCATTCTCCTGTTACTGAACCTTCTCACTGGACACAAGTCATGAAAACCCCACCTCAGTCTCGTGCAGAACTTGCTCCCACCAGCAGAGGCAGCAGCTCCTGTGTGTCTCTGCTGGGTGTTTGATCTCTTCCCTCTGCTCCAGGGACGGGCATTCGATCCGAGAGTGAAACAGAAGCAGAAGCCTCAGAAGTTCACATTTCTCCAGGCTCTTCACCGACGCCTCAGGTTCCAAAGCAAGGAGAAGATTATGGCAAAGGCGTCATTTTCTACCTCAGGGAGAAAGTGGTGGTTGGAATTGTCCTGTGGAACATCTTCAACAGGATGCCCATTGCCCGGAAGGTCAGTCCAGGGCTGGTGGGCTGAGCTCTGGGGCTTGCCTAGGCTGGGGGTTTGCTGGTGGGAAAATCAGCCTGCCCATTTAAAAGGAAGATAAGTAAGTGCAGCTGCTGTGTCTGGAGCAGAGCTGGGCAGTGTCCAGTGGCAGCTCTGTCTCGGGTGAGTTATGGGAGATATCCCTGTGCTCTGCAGCATGTTTGCTCAGAATTCCTACAGGAAGAACCCGAGTCAGGTTTCTGCTTCAAGCCTTGCCTGTCCACGGCTGAAATTCCAGGTCTGTGGTGAGTACAGGCAAGAGTCACACGTGACTGAGCATCAGAGTGAAATGTCCTATTTTTCTGCTACTTAGTCTAATGTACAAGTGTCTTAACCAGTCTTAAACATCTGTCACCCTAGAGACAGCCAGGGACAGGCAGGGTAGGAGCAGCCTTGAGCAGGAGCTTGGTCTTGGTCTGTCTCCACCCCTCAAAGAAATCTCAGCTGTCCTGAGGTCATTTGGTACCATCTCTGGAGAATTTCAGTAAACTAAGAGAGTGATTCCACACTATCTCCAGGTGGTCTGTCCCAAGTGGCCTGTTCTTAATGTTGGACATTTCCATTGGTATCTAATCTGAGGCTTTCATGGTGCAGTCTAGTCCTGTTACTCTCCTGTCCTCAGGAAAGGGGGCTCCTTTCCCTCCTTCTCCTGGCACCCCTTCCTCTAAGGCAGAGAGCCAGGCCCCTGCAGGATCCTTGGCCTCTTAGTCCTGTGTCTAAAGGAGAGGTTTGTGGGGCCAACCCACTCTTCCTGGCTCCTCCAAGATACTTCAGAGAGCCTGGCTCATCTTCTCAGACCTGAGAGGAGTCACTTGTTGAAGACACTTACACTGCCCAGCTATAAAGGGAAACCCAGACAGCAGCAGCAGCTCCTGCAGGGACAGGGGGTGGTTTTACCTCCAGGCAGATGATGAATCCCACGTACAGTTGCCTGTAGAACGTGCTGCTGTGTGTGGCTGCCCAGGTTGGTGTTGCCATCAGCAGAACTTTCAGGAGGACCTAAGGGTGTCATGGCCTGGGCTGGTGACCATGTATAGCACTGGTGGGTTAGATTTCCTGCAGGTTTTAATGCATCCTTCCTTCCCTCAGATCATCAAGGATGGGGAGGAGCACGAAGACCTCAATGAAGTGGCGAAGCTTTTCAACATCCATGAAGACTGAACTCCAGCAGGAAACTGCAGCAGGAGCCCCCTCACCTTGGACAGCCAGTACTTGTGAATATTCCCAGTCACCTTAGAGTTTAACCTTTGCACCAATAAAACCAGATTGTTGTAAGTTAACTGCCTTTTCCCTGCCCTGGGGAGGGCTGGTTTCCCAGAGCATGCTGCCTGCTCTGGGAGCTTCTCCCTCCTCTGCCCAGCAGAGGCTCCTGTGGAGCTGCCCCTGTCCCTGCAGGAGAGGTCCATCCCGATGGGATGGAATAGCTGGGGATGCAGCAGCTCCTGTGTAGACTTGTGTTGGAAGCCAAGTGTGTGCTCCAGGCTGCTGACTTGTGTCAGAGGGGCTGGAGAAGGGATGGGAAGGGTAAGGAGCAGGGGATCCAGCTGGGGAGAAGGATGGTGCAAGCAGAGCTGGAGAGCCCCCCTGCTCCTGCTTCTCCTCAGCCTTGCTCCATGGCTCCCATGTTCTGAGGGAATCCTTGTCCCCAGGGTGTCTTGGCAGTGCCAGGGGAGAGTCCCAGCCTGGCTGCATCCCCTCAGGCTCCCTTCCCACCCACCTGTCTCTGATTCCAGTCAAGGACTTTGAACATTTCAGATACAGTAAACTGGGTCTGTTTTACCTAATGCTTTTGCCCGAGTACCTTGGGCTGACCTGGATCTCCAGACTTCCTTTTCCAGGCTTTCTGCTCTTGCCAGGCAACACCTTGGGCCATTTTCTACTCAGTTTTACCTGTCTTTTCTCCTTCTTCAGCCTTCTGTTGCCATCTTACTTCCAGTTTTCAGATGTGGCTTTGATTGAGGCCACAGCCCTCGTGGACCATGTTGTAAACCTCTGGCTTGTTTCTTGCTCTCCAGCTTCCTGTCCCATCCTCTACTCCCTTCTCTCTAAAGCCTCTCTGCATCGTTTCTATAGACATGAACTTCTGGAGCTCGATGGCTTTCTGCAATGATTCACTTCTTGTAACATCCAGTCCTTCCTTCCACTCGGGTGATGTTGCCTTCGTTGTCCCTGCGAAGCCTCCGATGCTCCGTGTTCACCACTCCTGGTGGCAGGAGCTCCTGCCTTTGGTCTTGGCTCTGAATGTCCCGATGGCCTTCTGCCCCAGGCTGGCTCTCTGAGGCTGGGTGAGAAATGAGTGTGTGTGCATCCGTGTCTGTCCCTTGCTCCCACCCAGGGCTGACACTGCAGGAGCTGTTTTGGGATTCAGGTACTTCCTGGGCACGTTCACAGGCTGGAACCTGGTGCCATTGGAGGGCACCTGGGCCGAGGAGGGGGGAAACAGCTTTAAAGTAGATATTTTATGGCACATTTCAAAGGAATTACAAATCCAACCCCAGCAGCACCTCATGAGCCCCCTCTGCCCCCACAGGGGTGAAGCCAGATGGGGACTGGCTGCCCCAGAGCTGCTGGACACGGCTGGGAGGAGCAGCAGAGTCTCCCCAGCAGCTTCTGGCTGGATGATGCCTGGGGACAGGCAGCCCTGGGATCCCCTCGCCAAGCCACAGTGCAGGGAGCCCTTCCTGCAGCTGGAATCCCACATGGGAGGAGGAAGAACAGGCAGGAGACAGGGGGCCTGATGCAGGTTTTTTCTGTACATCAGTGTTTTTGACACCACAGCCTGTTGCTGCTTTATAATAAAACAGAAATCAGAAAGAGCAACCAGAATACACACCCAAAGGCAAAAAACCCTCGGCTTGAACAAAGTGCTGCCTGGCCCCCCCGGGAGGGGAGGCTAACAGCTGGGAGTCCAAGGGGAAGGGGAAAACACCTGCCCTGGCTGGGAAGAAACACAACACAAAGAAAAAACGAACCAACAGAAAAAAAAATCATAATAAAATAAAGCCACCCAACGCTCCTGCTGCAGAGCAGGGCAGGGCCAGAGAAACCACCGTTGTCCCGTCCTCAGTCCTGGTAGCACCTGTACAATAAAACTGTACCGTCCTGCCCGCTGCTCCCAGAGCTGCTCCTGGTGACACGGGAGGGGACGGGGGCAGGACCAGGCCCAGCAGACACGGCGCAGGGTGAGGAGGGGGCTTTGAGGGACCCCGGGGCGGGGGCGACAAGCGGCTGGGAAGCAGGGGGTGCAGTGGGGAGCAGCAGCACGGATGAGATGGAGGAAGGAGCCCGGTGAGAGGATGGAGCAGAGGGGCTGGGGGGGGCCAAAAGCGGGGGGGAGG